GATGATGATCGGGATATATATATATGTTTATTATGCCAGTTTACAGGCAATTATGTCTCTTGGTACACCAGTCGACCACTCCACACAAACACAATTTACTGTTATGTACTGATTCTGTGCCAATTCAAACTGTTGTGTACTTTATTTGTTATCTATCTCATGCAAGGATAGGTACCAGTTGTAAGGCCGTACAACAAATTCTGCTGTATACGCTTGCTTTAAATTCGTATTTGGGAAACAATGCTTTAAATTGCGAGGGCGAAAACAATTCAAAGAGCCGCAAAAATCGATCGATACAATCGATTGGTACACAGGCATCAGGCGTCAGGCTCACGTTTGTACACTTACTGACACCAGCAGGAGAACGGTTATCACGCTCTGACGATGGAAGCGAGAAAGCTTTTGAAGCGTCAGCTTAACTACAACCTGGTCCCGGAAATCGCCCCTTCTTCTTCCGGGGATGATGAAAGGTATACTTCTTTAAAATTTATGATAGAAGGAGTATCTTTCGGTGCAGAAAAATGTGCGATGACGATATTTTTAGGACGTACAATTCTCAGTCAAACGGCATCGTAGCTGTCAGCTGCTTATCAAAACCTGTAACAGAGCTCACACGCACTGCAAGTTCCCACGAGCCCACATATGCTATCTTTTTAATATCGCAGAGAAATGGACGGTTTTCGTCACATAGAAAGCATACGCCATTGCATTCTGTCCCTCGGTGCATCAGTCGACCAGTCCACATAAACACCCACTGGCCTGACTGCGAGTTCTGAATTGAATCGGCGGCTGATGTCCCCCAACCCAACTCCACCAAAGCAATCCTTCCTCTTCCAAAACACACTTCCGAATCTTGGTTATGATTTCATGAGCTACTGCGCTTTTTTCCGGGTTCTTGTTTCATACGGAAGCACTAGACACCTGTTTCCCTCTTCCTGTGCTCATCGATGGTCGGAGTCGAAACCCCGGCGTTTCACATCGCCGTTGGTAGCTTGGAAGGCTGCTAAATAACGGAATAATACTGCGCTCATCGTCAGTATTGTGTGTATGTTAAGTGACTGACTGGACTGAGAAGGTCGAGCTTGGGGACTCCTTACCGTGGCCTCTATGGCACGCTCACTCAGATGGGATTCCCCCCTTTTGTTTGAAAACCTGGCAAAATGTGAGGGTAACAGGTCGTGTGTAGCACCACTTCAAAACGGTCAAGCAATTCGCTGATCGCATACTTAATGAGGTCGCTCACCCTT